AGCATTATGTAACAGTGTGTGGTAACTAGTAAAGAAAAAAAAAGAGGAAAAAAAATATTGTAATAAATAGCATTATTTTTTTTTGGTAGAAATATAAGTAATGTGAAATTATCAGCATTTTTTTTTAAAGGTAGAAATCCAAGAGGTTATTGGTTAAAACTGTAAAAGGGGTTAATTGTGACTAAATAATATCATATGCATACAATAGGGGGAGGGGAAAAGTTTTCTGGAATGTAAGTACTATAACTATAACCAAGTAAGTAGCAGATAAATGTTGTACTGTAGCATTGTATTGTAAGTATTTTTCATTGTACGTAATGTTCTTTTTTTTTGGTCTGTTAGTGTGGAAATAAAGTTAATTAAAAAAAAGAAAAGAAACAAAGATGACGGCAGTTTAGACAGGTCAGTAGAAATACGAGTGTATCTGAATATCCTTAGACAAACAAAGGTGTTTGCCTTTTCTCTTACAACAGAAATTATCAAGTGTGTTATTTTTTGATGTAAAGAAAGTGAGTTAGTACTCATTGTTTAAGAAAAAACACTGCTTTTATAATTGCTTCTCTCATGCAGAAGCCGCTTTGAAGATATTGAAGATGTTGTTGATCTTACTCATTGCCTGAGTTCTACATCAGCACACCAAAGTATTTCCTCACCAGAAACCAGGTAATATGTTATCTCATGAACTTAATTATTTGTCTTTTTCCTTATGTTATATATTTAAAAGAAACTCCCAGATGCAGTTTATTTGTTAACTGCCAGCCTCAGATGAACAAGGGAGTGGATGCCACCCACCAATCAGGCTCAATCTCAGGCTTAAAAAGAGTATTTATCCTGAGATGCTGAAACTTTCCACAGCTTTATTCATTCATCGTGTAAATTAATATGCCAACTGTGTATTCATGATTTTACATGTAAGACATTGCAAGGCAAGGCATAATTACATGTAGGTTAGGCCAGATATCTATTATAGTTTTGGATGTATTTGTTTATATTTTTCCAGTTATTTTAGTTTGATTTTAGTTTGTTGAAAAAATGACTGCATTACTCCAAAAAAGGACAGATATAGTAGCGCTTTTGCATAAATACAATATACGTTTTGTTACACAGCCGGGACATTGTCGCAAAGATTCAAGATGTCATTGATCTTACCGGGTCCTAGAGTCCCACATCAGCAGACCAATAGATGCCTTCACCAAAGACAAGGTATTTTATCTCAACGTTTATAATGTCAAGAAGCTCAAGTAAAGACTGAGGCAGATTTCGTGAACTGAATAGATACAGGATAGATACAAGAAAAATTCTGAATAGCCATGAGACCATTCTTTTAACTGAGAAGTCATTTCAGTGTTGTTTGATTTCAGCTCATTAATTAACATTGAGTGTAAAACACTCTAGTCTGCATGAATAGGGTATATTTGCAATCAGTTTCTTATATAAAACTATTCACTTTGCTCTCCGGCAGACGTCAGTACAAGACAGGTTTGATAGTTATTTGTTTCATTGATGGTTTTACTGT